CGAAACGTACTCTCGGACAGGGAAAAGGTGAACGAATATATCACAATCGCGACCGGCAAAAATGAAGTTACTGACCTTATTGGACTTGGTTTTCAAATATTCCAGTTCCACGATACTGATACTGATACAAAAGATGGGACTTGAGATAATTAGGTTTACCCGCCCAAGCGGAATCTCGTATTTTTCGCATTCCAGGAAGCGTATTTTTTCATGAAAAGTTGTATTCACGTATTTTTCGGCAAAAAATCGTACTAAAATACGTAAAATCGTACTGGTTGGCATCTCTGCTGCAGCCTTTCTACTGCTACTCCTTGGCTCCTCCTTACTGCTCTCTTTCTGCCACACCCCTGATCTTCTGGTAGGAAAGATCTACACGCGCTCAAATGACCTTATGCAGTTGCGAGCGCCATAAAACACTTTACAAAAACAAATAGCAAAGTTAAGAACAAATAACATGAAACAATGCAGGCTCTTCAACAGGCTCTGTTAAAACACTTTACAAGCATGGAACATTCCGCCTGTCCTAATCCCATGTCCCAAGCTAGTTTCAGCCACAGTCCTTCCTTATTATATATACCTCTTACGAAAGAGCCATCTTTGTAAGCAACCCCCCCCCCCAACCCAAATCTTCCCTGCAACATGTCAGAGCCATGTACTCACAGCAAGATCTTGTCGTCAGATGGCAACAGACTGGAGAAGTGCTGGCAGTAGGCTTTGAAGAAGGTGTAGAAGAACTCTGGGAAGGCTTTGCCACGTTGCTTGATGAGGTACTCCTCCGCTGACAAACGCAGCTCAGGCTTACGCTGGATCATCTGCTCAACTAGCTCCTGGGGAAAGGAAAAAGGCTTAGCTTGAGCTTCAGTAACAAGAAGCACATTGATACAACAGCCGTCTTTTATCTCGTGCACAGAAAAAGCAGGACAGGCAGACAGAATCAAGTTGAGTTTGAAAAAAGAGAAACACATCGACATGAAATAATGGCCCTTTAGTGTAGGGAAAAAAAAACCTGATAGACAGAACCAACTGAAGGAAAGAAATGTAGTAGGAACATACCAGTGGCACTCTCCAACTACCTGCTGCACAGCAACAACTGAGGTAAAGAATAGAAGTAGGAAATACTAACTGACCTTCCAACCTCCTGCCAACAGCTGATGGAAAATGGCAGCAGCTCAAACGTGAGTATAGAATAAAATATAAAGTAAGCATAGTCAATTACATCACACTCAGACTGGATAGACCCTGATGGGCAAGCTCAGAGGCAGCCCATCTCCTAATTAGAAAAGTAACAGTGTAAATGTGGTGTTAAATATTTAGAATCAATTGATATAACAATAAACAGACTGTGCTCAGGTTCCACAAAGGAAACAAAGAGTTCCTAGATGGGTTGGCCTTGATACAAAGGGTCACAGCAGCCAATCTCCAAAATTATCTAAAGACCATAGATAGAGGTGTTGAGCCTCTACAATCAATCGATGGAGCAATCAATCTGACCCCCTAAAGGAAACAAAAGTTCCCTGTCGACAAGTTTCAAATACATCACACCCACATAAATGTTTAAAGATCCCAGGACTAAGTCATAAAAAAAACCCAGTGAAATGCACAACTACAGCATAATATTCAGTCTGACTATGCCAATCTCAGCAAAAGAGTTTAGAAGTTACCTTGACACTGTTGTCTGGAATGGCTTCTATCAACTTCCAGGGACTGTAGTTCTTACAGCTGTAGTTCAATAACTGGGACAAGTCAAAGGGCGCGACCCCATCGCAAAACATCTCTGTGATGACACACCTGAAAACACAAGTCAGCTCATGAGGCTCTTTGTTTGAGTAAAGAGAAGCACACAGACACAATAACAGCCATTTAGTGAGGTGGAAAGAGAGACAAGTAGACAAAAATAATAGAGGGAAAGAAGAAAAGTAAGACCTTCCACTGGTGCCCTCTTACCACTCACATGAGACTGTGACAAACAGACACATGACAGAGACTAAAGGACATACAGCATGTGTGCATCTTTGTGTATGTGCATGCATGTGTGTGTGTTTGCACATCTGTGTGTATGTGCATGCATGTGAGCCTCTGTGTGTATGTGCATTGTGTGTGTGTGCGCGCATCTGTGTTTATGTGCATGCATGTGAGCCTCTGTGTGTATGTGCATGCATGTGTTTATGCGCGTCTGAGTGTATGTGCATGCATATGTGCATCTGTGTGTATGTGCATGCTTGTGTGTGCCTGCGCGTCTGTGTGTATGTGCATGCATGTGTGTGTCTGAGTGTATGTGCATGCATGTGTGCATCTGCGTGTATGTGCATGCATGTGTGTGTGTGTGCGAATCTGTATGTGCATGAATGTGAGCCTCTGTGTGTATGTGCATGCATGTGTGTTCATGCACGTCTGAGTGTATGTGCATGCATGTGTGCATCTGTGTGTATGTGCATGCATATGTGTGTGCGTGCACGTCTGTGTGTATGTGCATGCATGTGTTCATGCGCGTCTGAGTGTATGTGGATGCATGTGTGCGTCTGTGTGTATGTGCATGTGCATATGTGTCTGAGATATGCATACCCAGCAGAGAAGATGTCCATGGCAGGAGTGAGTTCCCTGTAGACCCGTGGGGCCTGAGACTCCTCCAACCCACTCCCACCACTCTCCCAGTTGCTCTCCGACGGAGGTTTTCCCACCAGCCTCTCAGGTGCGATGTAGCAGACACGGCGACGGGAAGTGTCGAAGAAGTAAGAGAAGTCAGCTGGATTGTCCTGTATGAGAGGGAGTTTGGGGGAGGGGAGCACAGAGAGGGATAACAAAACGTGAGGAGTGAGGGAATACAGGGAATGGATAGGACGGCAGGTGCACATGGGAACCTGGTAAAAACTTCAACAAGTATTTAAATCATTTTCAACTGCTGAAATAAACTCCTGACTCCTGTCTTGGTATTGCTGTAGTAATTTCTTTTCCCTCTGTAATTTTCTAAACAACAACTACAAAAATGATGGAACACACACAATATTAAAACAAAACAAAAAAGAAAAGAAAAGAAAATGCAGCATCATGATACACAGCTGTTATTCAACCATTTCAATTGAGAAAATATGACACTTCAAGATAACTGACACATACAAAACAAATAAACATATCCACTGGTTAGAGTAAGACTCCACCAAACACATTTGTGACGTATAAGAGAGAGTCCTACACTGAACAGTTGATATGAGGATCTGCTTTCTCCTTCTAGTTCTCGCGCGCACACACACACACACACACACACACACACACACACACACACGCACACACACACACAAGAAAGGTCATACAATAGAAACACAAACAACAAATCAGCAGCTCACATAGGGCAGAGATGTGGGTTTGAAACTTGCAAAGTCTGTGAGGAGAACCCAGTTCCAGCTTGTGATGAGAATATTTTCCGCTTTAATGTCGCCATGACACACCTGAAAAAAACCCACAATTTCTTTCTTAATCTCTTCTTGATACACGTAGAACATGCAACAGTTCATTTCTCAATATCTTGCTGATACACACATAAGATGAAACAGTTTGTATCTTGCTTATACACTCATAACATAAAACATTTTATGTCTCAATGTCCTCCTGATATGCTAAAAACATACAACATTTTATGTCTCAAAGTCCTTCAGATGTAATACACTTACAAAATATGACAGTTTATGTCTCAATGTCCTCCTGATTGGCTAAAAACATATAACAGTTCATGTCTCAATAATGTCTTGCTGATATTCTTACAATACACAACACTTTATGTCTCAATGTCCTCCTGATATATTTCAGATTTTTTTCTTTTTATGTTGTTATTGTTGTTGTTATTGTTGTTGAAGGGGATGGTGTGGCAAGAACTCTAAATTCTCCAGGACAGAACTCAGGTCCAGCAAATATCATCAAAGCCACAGCATGACGATGAAGTATGACGCAAAAATGGCTGGGTGACTGACCTTGACTTTATGACACTGGTTGAGAGCGCAAAGCAGCTGGAAGGCAATCCACTTCTTTTCTATGAGGGTGAGGAAAGGACGTGTGCTCAGGCGATCATATAGATTGTATTTCACGTACTGACGGATCAAGATAGCTGCACGGTCCAATTTCTGCAGACAAACAGTGACAAAAACAAAACCAGCAGATAATAAAAAGACCAAAAGTGTCCCATAATCCTTGAATATCACATGAACAAAGCATCAAAGTAATTACACACACATCCCACCAACCTTACAGATACAGAGACCCCTCTCGGCCACTTCCAAACCAATCACTGGTGATCTCTTGCCACATTATGTGCTTGGTATAAACAAGGTAATACTATATCTTCTCCAATAAACAATTTCCCTTCCACATCCCCCTCCCCTCCATCCACACTTACAAAAAATATAATTACCCTTGATGAGAATAACATCAACAGCACATAAAAGAGCATTGGTGAGTCGTTGCCTCCTTTATACATATTCCCCACAGACCCCAACAATTTCTGAGGTCAAAGGACAAAAGGACAAGCTATGGTGAAAGCCAAAAAAGTCTACCCATTATTGAAGAGGAAAGTGGTAATCTAAAACATATGTTCTTCTTGGACAGTGTCATCTAAATATAACAAAAATGAAGGGGGGGGGGGGGGGGTAGTCATTTGTACTGGCGATAGTCTTGAACGGGAGGTAAGAGCATATTCAACTCGACGGTTAAACAAGGCCTTTCCTCAACAATTCCAGCTTATAGATACCAAAGTAAAGTGTAGTCACAACAAAATACAAAGACCATCTTGCACTGAATAACTGTTAAACTACTTCAGCTAACTTTCCTTTTCCTAGAGATTCTCTACCGCCACCTTGTCAAACAAGCATGTCCTGGAATCTCTGTACCCACACAGTAGAGAATATGAACAAAAATCATACGTGTGGCATCACAGTGAAATCGGGCGCTCATCAAAATAATTAAATCGAAAAAACCAACATTTTTCTGCCCATTTGGCATATTCTACTTAATATTTTGTTTTGGGTTCGAAACCTGTTATATCCGTTTAAAAGTACACTTCAGTGTGTATTTGAATTAAAATCGTTGATCAAAGATACAAAAAAATGCAAACTTGCAGTTTCCAAGAACACTACAGCTTAGGAAATCATCAAACTTTGGTGGCCATTTTCTCCTGACACCAAACAACCCCCACCTTCTTCAAATGCAAATATCTGAATTTTTATTATCTGTATTTTTTTTCATCTAAAGCAAGGAAAATGAACAGGCTTAAAGATGGTCTCAATGAATCTATAAGCACAAAAACTGACAAGCGCCTGATTCAACCACGTCATGATGTAATGAGGACTGTCCTTGTCAGACCACTGACTTACCACATGTTTTTGGAAAGGCAGACAGTTGGGAAGGCCGTTCAGACTCTTGTAAATGGCTGGAGGAAGAAGCACAAAATCATACTCATCATGGGCAGTGAGTAGTATCTCTTACATGTACAATTCAGATATATACTCTCAAACAAATACAGTCAAAACTGTCTGAGACAGCCACCCATTGTCCGGGTGAAAAGTAGCCATCTTACACAATGTCATTATAAATGTAATTTTTTTCTATTTACGCAAAGGGGGTAATGGAAAGAGGCCATTTGAACAGGTGATTGTCTTATATTGGTAGCCATTGGAGCAGGTTCGACTGTACAAGTTCATTTTCTACCAACAGCCAAACACCTTCCTCTCTGATAAGAATGAGACCAGTTACTTCTCTTTAAGTTTGAGAAAAGAGAAAAAGCACATCAACTGTCATATCGTAAAGTGAAGACATAAAGAAACAACATAGGAATAGGAAAGAAGTAGGACCAATCATGGGGCTCCCTCCAACCACCCACTGTTACTTCCCCAACAACAACATTACACAGATACAGTCAAACAGCCCACTGAGCCTCCTGTCATGCCTACACCATTTCCAAACTTCACATCAACCTCACACAAAATTTTCTCAGAGAATTTCTAAGGACATTTCCCCATTCACTGAAACAGTGTTTGCAAGTACAACAAATACTGACACTAACATTGTACTGACCAAACGTTTTACAAGACACTGATACTAAAAACAGACATGCCAAATTCTCCATGACCAAAAATAGGAACTTTCCTTAAAATCCTCCCTAAAAACTGAAGTATGACCAAATGAACGTGAATTGCAAATACACACAAATAAACATGTCTGTTTATTAACACGTCACTTACAGTAAGTTGTGTAGAACCAATGGAAACAAAATTCATCTAGAGAAAAAAATGGATTTTATGCAAATCAAATCCAACTGGGATTCGTCCATGTGCAAAAAAAAAAATTGTTTTAATCAAAGGGCTCCGATTTTATTGGAGTACTTGGCAGGTCTGCAAAAACAAAAGCCTTGTCACTATAACACTCTGACCATCCACATTGACTTATCAAAGGAAAAAACAAACACAAACAGGAACAGAGACACATCTACCACCTGCACTGACACACACACCAACAGTCTATTCCAATAGTACACACTGACCGTCCAACTTCTCCTGATGTTCTTTAAGAGGTAGTGGCATGGTCGGGTCCTGGATGACAAAAATCCGGACCACCACTAGACCCTCCCGGCACTTGGCCCGAGCCACCTTGAAGAATCGAGTACTTCCCAGGCTGAAAGATGAAAATTGCAATAAAATGACAGCAAGCAAAGGAAAGCCATTTGTACCAGGAAGCAAAACCTACATTAATTACGCGTTGTGATGGGGACCACATCACAATCTTTCTACAACAGGGTACTCAATCAAACTCAAATCACCCGGGGGCAGCTGGAGGTGGATTCTAGGTGAGGCTGGGCCACACCAAATATTGAAAGAGTTTCAAATATCTTTAAAAAAAAAAAAAAAGACACCTGATGTCAACTTCTCAATCTTTATTACTAGCTGTTAAAAAAATGAAAGAGTTCTTCAGGATAGGCTTCTCTTACCTACCCTTACTTCCAGAGAACTGAAAGTGACACTTCCTCTTACATTACTCAACCAGATTTGGGCCATACTTACACTAAACTTTCATGTCAGATGGGGGGGGCGCAAAATATTGTCTTGCAGACCTCAATTGACCCAGGCCATAAGAACGACACCCCTGCTCTACAACCTTTCACTAGTCAGACGTCAGACTATCATATACTTCAACTCAATGAACCTGGTCACATGTAGCCTTAGTGCACTGCTTGCACCCTTATCTGCATCTGTTGCGCGTTCAGTGTGCATGGATGAAAATCTAGCAACAGTAGTAACAGTCAATCAAAGAGAGCTCACGTACATTGATCCTGTAGACACTGATGGCTAGGGTTCAATAGGTTAAGTTTGCCAAAAAAGCAGAAGAAAAAGAAAATGTCCACCCCTCCTCCCCCCCCCCCCCAAATCACCCTGGGAACTCAAGCTCCTCCAAAGAACAAAGTGAAAATCTTTGCACATTCAAGAATTTACTAAAGTGCCATCTCAAAGCATGATGTCAACGTGTTAATAGCAACAGGCAGTATTTCAACAACATGACTAGCATCTTTTCTCTGGGTATCGAGCTAAAAATACATGCAATTTTAGGTCTACACAATAAGATCAAGGAGTAGTATCTGATACTGCATCACAAAGGACACGTTCCATCAAGTATGAGTGTTGTGAAACAAAAGAGTGAAAACATACAGTAAACAACATCGCTCATATAACCCACCTGCAATCATATTCATAGTAAGCAAGGTCAGTCAGATAATGTTCAACAGGATAGATGACCACAGGAGCTTCACCGGTAAGCTGATTACCCATGATGCGCTTTTGAGGAGGAAATCCCTCAACACTTGGAGCACTTCAAAAGATGAACAGTCCTTCAAGTCCAAGCATCTACAGTTCAAAGCTCATCATTTCTCTGCTGCAACTGCAATACATTTTTTTTTAATAATCAACTTTAATATCACATTTCTCAGTATCTGTTTCATGATGAAATTGTTTGAACGACAGTTCCTTACAATTCGACATTGTTTGGCCGGTGTAAAATATATATATATCCAGCAATGGGATATTATATACATTTATACATGATAGAGAGAGGAGAGGGGGCCACAAGTCTAGTGTCGGATCAATCACTAATCCCACACAAACAAAAACTCTAATACTCATCCTCAATTTCAACTCAATTTGATTAGCTTTGATGGTAAATTTTTACAATCACTCCCACATGTGCCCTGGATTAACACTTAGAGGAGTACTGAAGGCTCATATATAGTGAAAAATTCTCAAGTACCGCACTAGTTTAGAGCGCTGAAGCCGTGGTTGAATTTTTTTAAAATTAAAATAACCTTCGTAGCCCAAGAAAGTCTTGAACGCTGAAGCCGTGGCCGAATTTTTAAAAAAATTATTTAAATAACCTTCGTAGACCAAGAAACATGCTTTAAAAATCCACAGAGGTTCATCAACCATTCAGCTATCATATAGAGTGACTTCCTTTGTTATTTACTTCAGTTCAGTGGCTCCATTCGCTGTTTGATTATAATGTTTAGTGTATCTCGTCAAGTCACTCATTAAGGTCGCCAGTGGTAATGAGTGCATACTTACTACGGCCTGGCGACGAAAGTCGCCGGTGGTATTAAAAGAGTTAAGATGTCAAGCCTCATTTTTGGATGCCTAAACACTAAACATGTATATGTAGCCACTAAAGCAATCATAAATAGTTTTTCGAGAAAATTTCTAACCTAATTGGAAAACATCATTAACCTCAATTGAGCCTGGGCTATTTTTAACTCAACAACCATCACAGCCTTGCAAACTTAGGGTATAGGCCTATTGAATAGTTTTAACTACAAAAAGACCATGAAAGAGCTATTATATCATAAAATTAATAAACTGCAACAAAAGAAAGAAAAAAATGCTCTCACAAAAAAAGAAACCTGCACCTAATCTGTCTACATAGTGTTTATTTTATTTTGAATATTTTGAAAAATGGAAATATTAAGGTCTTAAAAAAATATGTTCTTGCATTCAATGTGTATTGGGTCTCCTTGCTGCACCAAATGTTCATACTTCTATGTGTTTCATGACAGAACATTTTGGAGCAACACAGAAACACCATACAAGCAGTTGATTTTAACTTACAATGTATGTTGAGTTTGGAGTCAGAGCATGAGGTAAAATCCCAGTACGAGTACTTGAATATGTCAAACCTCCCTTAACTGAAACCTGTATCTAAGGCAGAAACCTGTCAAAATGGAATCACTTGATTTAATAACTTCCTCTATAAATACCTTCATCAAAAACCTGTTCAGCCCGCAAACAGAAAAAAAAATGTTTATTCCTTCCCCTCCGAGGGATTTTACCTGTCTAAGATGGAAAATGTTTTGCCCGCTCAGCCCTTTTATATTAAATTAGTCTCTGCCTACAATCCCAGTGCTCGGGAGCAATGAGAATATGGGGTCTTAGACGAACCAGATCTTAGCTGATAAAACCCAGAAATGAATCTATGGTGGCCCATGTTAAGGCTCACAACCGGTAAAATGGTCTCCCTTCACTCTAAAATGAACTGACCCCTGGGTGGGTTTATGACATATGGCGAGCAAAGAGTAGTCAACCTTGATGAACAATCACAGTGGCATGAGGCATGCCAATTACACTTATTAAATCATCCTATCGTGAGTCTCAAGATCTACACTTATCCTGCTGTCCTTCCCCTTCACCTGTCCCAAATTTATAACTTTCCATCTCTGACTGAGCCCTCCCGCCTTTGTTGTTACGCACCATTACGATGTGACCACATCAATTAAAATTCAGTCTATCTTGCAAATTCAGAGTAGAGAGAACAGCTGCAATGGTCAGGGAAGAGTTCACAGTTCGGTGTGATCCCAATGGAGCGACCTTGTAGGCCCTACCCCCCCCCCCCCCCCGCGATTGATGTAAGTTTAGGTGGAGAACTCAGAGATGCGACTGTGATGTTTGGGGAAAACAAACACGTCGGTTAGTTCACACCTTTGTATGATCCCATATGGAGCAAACATTGCACCGTTTCATTGAATTTTATCCGCTTTTATGTGATCACATTCACGAGAGTGGCTGATCTCTGACGAGATGGGCAGTTCATTGATCTCAACTTTCAACTCTTGGTTGATCAGATTCCCCCGCCCAGGTTTTTGTTTCATAAATTGTGATCTATCTGAAACGCGGGATCATTCTTAGCTGAATGTAGACCTTCAGAGAGAATCAGAGAGGGGATCATAGAGGTAACTTTTGTATGATAAAAATTATCTGTTTTCTTTTTATCTCTGCGAAAAAATGTCTTGATGGAATTATTCTTTTCTGGCTCCCTTGCGATTCCATTTTTTTAGAAAGGTTCAACTGTATTTTTCACAGATGGTGCCTGCTGCTTTAGATCTCCGAAGTCCACACTGAGAAACACAACTACTGTCCTTTTGCCACCAACTTAAAGATCTCTCTGCAAGTTCGATTCTACACCATACACACGTTCAGTCCTAGAACTAAAACTATTTAATTTGTTATCACTTGGGACTTGAACTACATTGGAAGAAAAAGAACCTCTTTGTATCTGATTCTTCTATAATATTTAATAATGCTTTTTTCTCCATTAATTTGACTAGCAGTCTAGCCGTCATTAAGTACGGCTAGCCTCTTCCTTTTTCAATTCAATGTTTTAAAGCATTCAACAACGGAGGGGTTATAATATGATCGTACAGTTGTGTATAAAACTCTGTCTCGTAATCTGTACAATATTTGTTGAATGAACTGCCACTAGTTATCTGTACAATACTACACGCCCACAACCTATTTGTACGAAACCAGAAATGCCATATTTTGGGCGGCCGTCGAGTCCGAATAACATTTTTTCATATTTGGACTCGAGTCCGAATAAAAAAAATTCATATTCGGACTCGAGTCCGAGTATGAAAAAATGCTATTCAGACTCGGGTCCAGAAAAAAGGAAGTGTCTTCGTTCTATAGATCTAACGTTCAGTGCTTCCAATTTTCCGCCATTTTTTAGTTTCCCCTGCACCTTTTCTGCTGATCCGATGCCCGCGGCCTCATTGATGCACC